AGTCCTTCTCCTCAGGCTGCTCTGAATCTCTCCTCCGCCAGCCTGTAGCTGTGCCTGGGGTTGTGCCGACCCAGTATTAAGGGGGAAAAAAAACCCCAACTTTCAAGCCCATACTTCATATTTAAGGAAAGATGTTTTAGAAGTACTCATCCAAAATCTGCAAGTTTCTTGCTTACTTAGAGATTCTATGGCCTATATGTTATACTGAAAAATTTAATACTGGTTTCATTTCATGAGGTCAGCATGAAGGAGTTATATTTTTCTTGTCACTTTCACTGCATAAAGGACACACTAAGTCTTTAGTACACCTGAACTGAAATACAAGCCTGCAATGTCATTGTGAACTCTACTATGCTAATAAACAAGTGTAACTGCTGCAGTTCTCGCCTATGAATACATGCTGCTTAGAAGACTGAACTTGGATTCTAGAGAATGAGAATCATGTAGTAAACTAGCTATAGTATTTCGGATTTCTTGGCAATTAAGTAATTGATGGGTGTCAAACTCACACGTTTAACATACATACAAGAGGTCACTACTGTTTGTACTACTGCTTACTGCCAGAATTTTACCTACATGCACACTTGTCTGTTTGCAAACTGGACACAGATATAGCTGAAGGATACACTGCACCCCAAATCTGAGACAAATCTTTAAACTTGTTAGTAAATGCAGCCTTGAAAACAACTTCTATAGAAAATGTTATGCAAATATATAGGGGAGCGGGGCGGAAATCAATAGTATTTTCTAACTAATATTTATTACATTAGTTTAGGAGTACGTCAGTTTCCTGTGCAATAATTCAATCAGATGTAACATAACATCAATGCCAAACAGTATATTTCCTTTTTTTCTTTTTTAATGAGAAAATACACAGTAAGATCTGTCAACCGCATCTTTCAAATATACACAATTCCAAGTTAGCTAGCCTGTAACTGTCTTCTTGAATCACAAGTACTACTTCATTAATAATTGCCAACCAGCATATAGATCAATGCCCAACCTGGAGTTTCAGATTACTCCTTGTGACTATTGTTTTTTTACTTTTAGAAACATCCTTACTACCCAATATCACGCTCAGGCTTGTGCTTTTGGCTTTGTTTTGAAGCAGAAAAAGTAAGAGTATTTACCTTGTCCTTTTTCAAAAAATATAATTTTGGATTCTGGAAGAAAATTGGATCCTGTCACCACCATTTCATGGCCTCCATTTACTGAGCAACTGTTGATGCTGTACTTCTCAATCTGAGGGAGTTCTTGAGCAGATCGCTGAGCTTTAAAAAAAGACAATAGAAAAATCATTATTCTCAATTTTAATCATAGTGACATGTCTTTTATGATCCTAACTTGAAGAATCAGGAGTGAAGCCAAACTGACCATCTATTTACATATATAAATCATGGTTTTGTACGATTTATCTTTGTTTTAAAATTACGTTGAAGTTATATAAATACAGAAAAGAAACATCATGAAGCCATGAATCCCAACAGTCTTTACCGTTACAGCAAATTAAATATTTAATTTAGGAATATTGGTTCAAGAATTAGTTTGGTATTTTATGGAGAAAATTAATTCTAGAAGAAATTCAGGTTGTTTAAGGTCACGTTTTGATTCCTCAGTGCTAGCATTAAACAAATGAACTCTTTAGAAGTTCAGCTGTGCATTAGATAACACTGTATAAAGACTAGTAATGGTATAGACTCTTTTAAATGAAATGGTATTAGTTCTTCCTGAAATTAATATTTATTTCATTTATTTTCACTGAGATGTATCAGCTGCCTCTGCCCATATTCACGAATCACTGAAGCTGCAAGCTGCATGACTGCAGTAATAGGTTTAAAACCTGTAACAGTGGTTTTCCTCCAGACTTTCAGGCTGCCACTTAACAAGTCCCATCTTCATACAAAGCTGTATTAATTTTTGGTAGTTTAGCTCTTTACACACAATGCTTTTTATACACACTTGTTACATATAATTCTGACAATAAATATTGTCAGAATGACAATACTACTAACACATGCAGAAAACATGAGTATAAATGATGTATAGTTAAAGCAATCTTACAGCATTCAACAGGTATGGAAGCAGTCTGCAGGGATAAGACTTTTCCACTAGGTTGTGGGATGTGAACACGAAACACAAGTCGCACTCTGGTATTCTTTCTTCCAATATCTGTCTCTCCTTTACGGAGCTCTATATCTGAATTGCGAAGTTTCAAAATACCAGCACAATCGATACTGGAGGTAGGTAAGGATGGATGGATCGGGAGAGAAATGGAAGAAAATTAATCAAACTATTGCCAAAGTACACTCTGTAAGCCTTTCTTTCCTAAAAGAATGAATCGCATTCTGGTTTACCCCATGTTATGCTATTTTAAATGTTATTTTAAATGTCTGAGATTAAAAGATCTGCTAGTATCAAAAACGGCAGCAAGCACTCTGTTGAAACATTTTGCCTTATAAATATCTAGCTGCTGTTGTTTTTAACCTTTGAAAGATTATGTGTTACTGCACATTGTTTAACCTTTGGAGTAAATTATTTAACATAACGAACACCATCAACAACAGGAGCAAGACACCTATATTTAGTTCTGCCTTAGGAAGGACTGGAGAATGACAAAAGCGTAGCTGTCAAATCCCAGCTACCATTCCACATAGCTCTTGGTTATTCATACGACACACACATAGTTTAATCAAGTAACACCTATACATAAACTAGTGAGGAGTGTTCTCTTGCACACCATTGTGGCTTCATAGCCTTCAACGGAACTAGCATGAAGTCTGCAACTAGGAAAATGTAAACTGGCTTCAGAAGTCTACATAAGAAATAAATATGCTACATAAACAAATAATTGTGCTTTGCTCTGTTCACTGACCCTCCAGACAGAATGGAGCTATTTAATTGTTGGTATAACTTACCATTAAACTATGATTTATCACATTTGATCTGGCAAGACCTGAAAAGTCAGATTAATGCAACTGCTAAAAATAAAATCATCAAAACAAGGAAAAAGCCTACTACGGTACCACAAGTTAAAAGTCGACACATTTAGTCAAGGAACAAATAACTAAATTGTATGACTGTATTTTCATAGGAAAAAAAAAAAGCCTTCTGTCTTTGTAAAATCAAACAATCTCCACTGCCAGTAAACCACATGCAATGCTACAAATGTGGAGTCATATGTACGTATGGATTGTATGGGGAAAAATAATCCCAGAAGCACTCATCTATCTCCTCGTCAATCTTATGAGCTTCCTTGTCTGTCTCCTCCTTTTGAGTACCTGAACACTGGCATGTTTAAAGAGATGTATCTCTCTCAGTCATAAGCCATATTTGTGGAAAATACGCTATTCTACAAGATTTTCGTTTACCTTTGCACAAATGAAAAAGGCACATACAACTACACAGCTAAGTTATGCTGTGACATACCTGGCTGACATATTATTTTCAGGAAGAAGCGGTATTTCCAGAACTTTTGTGCTGGCTATTATTATCTCTTGACTAGCTGTTGCAACTGTTTTTCCAGTGATTCGGTGCACCTGGTAGAATGCGTGAGGTCTTAAGTACCGATCATCTGCTGTGCCAATGAACATCTGCAGGTTTACTGGCTTTTCGCTGAAGCCCAGGAGCTGGTGAAAAAGTAGGTGTAATATTAAAGTATTAGTTGACTCCTACTGCGCTTGTGTGTGCATAATAAAAATACACAACTAGTACAGATTTGAGAGTCAAATAGTAGCATTTACTTACAAACTTCAGTATCTTCGGAGAACCAGTCACAGGCATCTGTCTGTCCTCCAGTACAAGTATCAAGAACATTTACCAAAACAAACTAGTATCGAACTATCTTTTTACTTTCACATCTCTCAATCCGTATGTACAAGATTTCTACATCAAAGCTATGCTATATTGTATGTGTGTTTCTGATACTGTTTTTAGTCAAAGAAATTACCAACTGTACTGAGATACACCTAGTTTCTAGAAATACAATAAATATTTTCAAGTTCAGCTTTTCTACTACAGAATGCAGTAATGAGTTTTATTAAAAGTAAGAGATTTGGTGAATGCAAATGTATCGTTTTAGGAGATCATGTACGGTTTATTTCTGGCAAATTAAAGGTTTTAAAAACCAAAAATTGATCTATGTTAATTCCAGCATCTTTCGTTTTCTTAAATATACTAACCACCACTGCACCCAGTTGTCGTAAACCCACCTGTTGATTGACCTAAAAGTGGTAATTCTAGGCACAAAACACACTGAAGCATCAGGAAAAAAATTAACAAACTGTAAAGGAAAACGCTAGTTTTATGACAGTACATTGGTAACAATTATGCAGAAGATTTAAAGAAACAAATTCAACCAACCATAACATGCAGTTTTATATCTGAAGCTTATACAATGTCTTACACATCCATGAAGTCCGCTTCCCATTCCTGCAGCTGGCAGACTGATGCATGCTGCAAGTTACGCAATTTCTAAAAAGCAATGGAGCAGATTCACATTTCATGGACTTGGACATCAACTGATGTTCAAGGGGAGGGAGGGCTAGACAGTTGTGCTTTAAATGTGGCCTTGCCATGTCAATATTTTTGTCTCTAGGGAGAGTTATTTGGTCACACAACAATACTATCCAAGCTCTTTACAGAACTAACACTTAAAACCCAAACAAAACCATGTCAATTTAACCTACTTAGAAGAGTAATTTAACAGTGGTAGTCAGCAGAACAAAAAAGCAAAGCACACCCACACCCAGGAATAAGCAGCACCACTGTGGATTCCTTGTACCTTGATGTTCTACTATTGACAGGAAGTTCTATGTACACCAAATGAACGCCTGCTTTCTATACCTAAGTTACCTCCCAGTCTTGTCACTTTTATTAGAGCTTTCTCAATCAAGAACACAAATTTGGTCTGCAACACAGTCTGGGACTTTACAGACCCCATTCTCAAAGATTTTAGCCTTACGTGAAAAAAGCTTTTTGCCTTATGTCTAAGATGTAATACTCATTAATTAATCCATCTAGATGAAACAGCAAGGTCCTATTTCCTTTCCATCATTTTTAGTTTGTGTCCCTCCCATTTGCCCAATGAAGTTAAACATGACCAGAAGCAGAACAGCCAAAATCTAGACGAAGATAAATAAAACTGAGCTTAATCAAATAAACCCAAACCAACAACTGTGGCTTGTTCTTTACCTCTTTGAATCTAGTGCACACACATATCTAATAAAATAATTCCTGCCTTCAAGAGGCCAGTTGAGTTCAACTTTTACCATAAAATGTAGACTACATTTGTACTACATTGTACATAGACTACAAATACGGTTGCACTAAAGCAGGCTGGTTTCTGTCCTTAAACTTGACTTCTCACCTGTCTCTCCACCTGACTCCAGGTACCCCTGAGAAGTCATACATACACAGGTGAGCCCAACAAACCAACTTAATAATATTAAATCAGAAAGTCACATTTCCTCATGGGTTTAACAGTTCTTAACCCCTTCAGACCCTCATTATAATGAAGGAAAAATATGTGCCACAAAAAGCCAAGCTAGTCATGGCAGCTTTTATCACATACAATGTCTTGTCTTATAACTGACATATTTCCAACTATGTTTTTACATGATCTCATTTATTTGTGATTATATATGTGTATCTTAACTGCAGGCTTTTTGTTCTGTTGAATATATAAAATCTTTTTGTTCTCCCCAGAGCTCTCAGTACAGAGCTAAATCTAGCAAAAAACCCTCCATCAAACCAAACGAATCCCTCCGTGTAGACAGTGTAGCTTATCAACATTGCTTCCCATGTAAATAAATGTGATATTTGAACATTTACAAATGCCATAATGGAGGCAAAGAACGTCTTGTGCCCATCAGTGTACTGACAATTTTCTCCTCCCTCATCTGTCAAAGTCACCTGTAAGCTACAGAAACACAGCTGGACCACAATCAACTTTGTTCTTTACCGTCACGTTGATAGTGGAGCGCAGGGACTCTTACATCAATGTACATTAGATACAAAAATGCATAACAAAATCTTGCAAAAACTATTTTTTTTAAATGCCAAATGAACGTTTTCATATTTTCCATGAGTCTGAATTATTTTAGGAGTTTAAAGAAAATTTAAGGGCATGGATTAGTTTAGCATTCACAGCAACCATCTTGTTCCAACTTCTCAACACTGACTCTACCATCCGTTTTCCTCAGAGTTAAAATTAAATCTTAACACACTGGAATACACCCTAAATGACGTTCATTAAATGTGTTCACTCTAGTACTGGGACTTACATAAATTACAAGCCAGACCTATTAAAAAATTTGAATAGCTTCCAAATAGGGTCACTGTGACAAAGCTAATTTCCCATTAAAGCTAGCTTCCCCTTCCTTAACAATGGATGTGTACACAACAGTTCCGAGAGATACTAGTGATATGAGAAAGAGAGGGGTGAGGGGTAGGCTGGTGTGTCTGCAGCCAGTGGAGAAGCTGCCCTCCACACGAGCCTACACACAGCAGGAGTTTAATTTTGCGAAGCAAAATCTACCCCATGCCAGCAGTTGCAATGGTATTGCCTATGGGACTGCTACATTTGAACTGCTCAAAGTCATGTCTAATGCTAGTTTTGCTTCCATTATTCCTTGGTGGTCACCCAGATATGCTATGATGGGAGATGTATAGGGCCTGGTATATGCAAAGCACAGGGTGGGGGTGGAAATCTGACAAAAAATGCCCACCCTACCAGCAGATAAGTTACGTATCAATAAGTTCTCAAGTGCATTTCCTGTACAATGTTCTTGCAATATAAACTCTTGATCTTGTTAACTGTCTCACATCACTGCAGTACATCAGCATACCAAAGATGTGAAACTATGTTACTACAGCCTCAGAAGAAATAACAACCCTCCACCCCCAACAAGACCCCGCACAGTAGCACCACCTTTAGTCATCCTCCTTTGGTTTATGTATCAAATTAAATGAAAACAAACAAGAAATCCAGCACCCCAAGAAAAAATATAACATAACAGAATACATTTTTATAGTAACTTAGAAGAAATCTAAGCATGTAATAGTACAGAAACATAGAAATAAGGCATCTCATAATTAAAAATTATCTACGATAACATCAGGACAAAAACCTGAGAATTTCATATGTATTTAAAAGCTGTAACAGCGTAAAGCATCTCCAAGCAAAAAAGCCATACTATAGGTTACACTAGAGCTTTGTCACAAATGAACTGCTGTGAAGGATCTGCAATGAAGCCTTGTTAAAGGTACTATATTATATGGCATATATATATGTGTATATATATATATATATGGTATATTCCAGTATCTATAAATATATATATATGGGTAGATAAGAGTAGTAACACATTGGCAAGGTAGCAGAGACTTCACAAATTTATACTCTGCATTACATAGGAGTTATTGCATTTCTTCAAGGTTTAAAAATAAAAATTTAAAATGCATTCCTTTCGAACACAGTTTTGTTCTAGTTAAAAAACCCCACAACCCATTGACTGTTCTTAGTTCCACTGACATTGGGATGACACTTTCTTATTACCTAATCTGTTTTATGCACAATTCTCTATGTTGAGCAGCCCAAACATTTAAGTCAGTAAAAAAATAACTTCTAACTGTTCTTCCATGAAATACCTACATAATTAACTTGAAAGAACCTAATGAAACCATGGTATCTTCGTAAAGACTACACAGTGTATACAAGTAAGAACATAGTGTCTCCATACAGACCATAGACAGTTAACAGCATTTACAACCTACTGGTAAGTGCTGCAGAATCACCACGATGCAGATGCATTACAATAAACTGCTGCAATATCAGTGTGCCCAAGATTCAGTCATGGGTCACTTACAGGAAGACAGCAACTTTAATTACTGGTTGAGCACTAGGTGTATTTTCAAGTATACCTTTCAGCACTTACTCTATTAATGTGCAATCCTACAGCTGCACATAAAAAAAAAAAAAAAAAACCACAACCAAACAAAAACCAAACAAAAACAAAACACCAAAAAAACCCCAAACCTAAACAAAAAACCAAACCAAAAAAAAAAAAAACCCAAAAAACCAACCAAACAAAACCCAACCCAAACCTCAAAACAAAAAAAACCTTACTAATTTTACTTTAAAAGATACACCACTTTCCCAGGAGTAACAAACAGCATGCTGCAGACAACTACTAAGTTACTGCACACTGTCACTACTGACCTCTAGAAACCCTCCTCTGTAACAGAACACTGATACACCACCCACTGCTCTGCTGAGGAAACTCAGCCAAGTTGTTTTTGTGTTTCTATATCGTTTCCATAGCAAAGGTCAGTGCATGCGTAAGTTAAACTAAAGCTGGAAGGCTAAAGACTGAAGGTCACCACAGGATAAGCCAGAAGGGCTTCACGCCAAAGCAGTTCCAGCCATGTTACTATACTGCATACAGTAAACTCATGCGTGCATGTCAATACTTAGCTTACAAGTTTAACCAAGGAACTACAAAGACAGTAAGTTGGTAAGAGAACTTTTGGATCATCAAGAAACTGTATTTTGTATCACAAAAACATTAATACATTCTTATTGCACATATGGAAAATGTTAAAAAAAATATGTAACACTAGAGACTAT